CCCAGGTGAACCGGAGCTGAGCGGGGGGGCGGGCGGTGCCAGCCAGTCCCTTGGTCAGCCGAGTACTAAACTCACCAAGTCAGCGGAACTTCATTAACCCTCCCCCCCCGCCCGCGCTGGCTAGCCATAGATCAGAAAGTGCTTTGCAAAGGAGGGCAGTATCACCACCCCCATTTTACAGATGGGGAAACTGAGGCGCGGCACAGGGAATAAACTCACCAAGTCAGCGGAACTTCATTAACCCTCCCCCCCCGCCCGCGCTGGCTAGCCATAGATCAGAAAGTGCTTTGCAAAGGAGGGCAGTATCACCACCCCCATTTTACAGATGGGGAAACTGAGGCGCGGCACAGGGAAAAGTGACCTGCCTAGGGTCATTCAGCAGGGCAGTGGCAGAGCTGGGAATTGGTCCCATCTCTCCTAAGTTCCGGTCCAGGGCTGAGGTTCGCTGGAGGTGGAAGAGGGGGGGAATCTTGCCCTGCGGGCGCCCAGGCGGTACCTGTTCCTGGGACAAGGGAAGGCGTTGGTGTCCAGGTTTGGCCATTTGGCCCCAGCTCCGCACTCAGACCCAGTTTTGCAGCACTGGGGCGCAAACGCGCCCGGAAAGCGCCTGTAGGCGAGCCGTGACCTGACAGGACAATCCCGTTGCTCCCCGTGTGCGTAGGGTGATTCTGGAGAGCGACCCTCAGCAAGTGATCCAGAAGGTGAACTTCCGGGTGAGTGTTTCCCGGAGCCCGTCCCCGCGCTCTGCACAGCTGCTCTCCCTCACTTCTCTGTCCTTCCAGCCCTCTGCTCTAATCCCCCTCTTGGATTCTTTCCACCCCAGGCGGCCTCGGAGCCGGCGCCGTACGGGTTTGTTCTCTTCGATTACATCACCGGTAACTCAGAGCAGAGTGACTCCGTGCCCGCCAAGGGCGACAAATAGGCAGCGGCCAAGTGGGAGGCAGGTGTGAGGTCACTTCCTTCTAAGCATGGCGTGGCCGTGGCTTAGCTGGGCAGGTCACGCCCTCGTCTGCATGGCACGAGTGACTCCGGAGTGGCCGTCGGCCTTGGTGGGATTCTGCTGTCATTAGCCGTTCTTCTTCCTTGTCAGTTTCGGCCTCCATCCAAAAATCTTTCACAAACAAAACTGACGTGGAGGGAGCGAGAAGGGACAGGGTTCCATGTGGAGCCAGCCCCCAACAGCTCCCTTTTAGGCACCTGGATGCAGCTGCTGGGCTGTGAGCACGTTTAAAAACGTTCCCAGTGGCATACCGGGTTCCCAGAACTGCTGTGTCCTGCTGCCTGGCATTATATCTGACAGGCAGGATTATGGAATATTAATGAGGGCATGTGATTTTTATCACTGAATGTACTGCCAGTCTCAACTGGTGCTAGGTTTGGCTGAACTAGCAATGAGCATCCACGTTCATCTCCTGCCAGGATGAGGTTTGTCGATAAAATTATTCCCCCCCAAAAGGTCTCCACAATAAACACAAGGGCTGTGTCTACACTGGCGGCTTCTTGCACAAGAACATCTTGCGCAAGGGTTCTTGTGCAAGAACTCTTGTGCAAGAATACGTTCACACTGCCATGTGCAAGCTGCACTTTTGCGCAAGAGCGCCCATGGCAGTGTGGATGCTCTCTTGCGCAAGAAAGCTCCGACGGCCATTTTAGCCACAGGGCTTTCTTGCGCAAGAAATCCCGCCGAGCGTCCACACTGCCGTCTTGTGCAAGAGCCCCTGCGCAAGAAGGCTTACACCTGTCAAAAAAGAGCATAGCTCTTGTGCAAGGAGCCCCCTCTTCCCACGCCGTACTGTACATTTACTTGCGCAAGAGCGGGCGGGCAGTGTAGACGCTCTGCATGTTCTTGCGCAAGAATGGCCGTACTTGCGCAAGAAGCCGCGAGTGTAGACAGCCAAGTTGTCTTCAAAAGGGATTAAAGCTAATTGGATCATTGCAAGCCTGGAGTAGCCGTGTGTGCTTGCTTTGGGGCTTGTCCCATTTGAACTCTGGGCTCAGAGGGTCTAAGAGCTTGTCTACACTGGCATGTTTTATCACCAAAACCTGCCTTTTGGCGACAGAACAGTGAGAGACTTTTGGGCCTTATGGGCCAGTTTTGGCAACAAAAAACTTGCAGCCCTGCAAGAGACTATTGTCTTTTCCCCTCTATTGTTGACAAAGAGCCAGTGTGGGCTCTGCAGTTTGTTTTGTCGAGAGAACTGGCTTCTGCTAGTATCCCACAATGCTGCCCTGATGGTTGTGCTCAGTGTTTTGGGATCTCTGCTGCCCTGCAGGGATGTGCCCCTCCCCTTTCAAAGTGTCTGGCAGCAGAGTGAGCTGCTCCGTTTGGAGAATAAACAAAGAGCAAATGATTGGAGTGCTCCTGTTCTGCCCTGCTAGGAACCCAGCGGCTGGCTGCTGCTGCAGGGGGAGGGCTGGAGAGGCTGCTGTGCTGCTTTGACGTTCCTCAGCACAGAGAGCTCAGAGCTACACGGGAATCCCAAGAAGCGCAGGGATCAGCTCTGCCTTCCCGCCACACTGCATTGTGGGATGCTTCCCCACAATGCTTTGCCCTGTCTGCTGACAGAGAGCTCCTTGTCGACAATGGGAGGCAGAAAAACCTGTGCGACCGGTTTTCACTTTTGGCGACTTTTCCATGGCGACTGCACGTTTGTCGCCAAACCTCCCCAGTGTAGACAGAGCTGCAGGCACAGGCTGAGCACTGGGAATGGGGTGAGAATTTTGCTGCGTGCTAAGGAGTTGTTGGCAAGATCGGTTTGTCCCGAGGACGTCCCCTCCCTGGGTTTGTTTCTAACCTTGTGGGCTTCCGTGTAACCGCTCTGCCAGTGATGCGAGTGTCTCAGCCTCCAGCATCGTCAGCCTGCTGTGGAGGTCAGCTGGTCCGAGCTGTAATCAAATGAACCAGTGTGATCCCTCGGGCTTCTGGCCGGGAGGACATCCCCAGAACTCACAGCTCTTGGGGCCAGGACTGCATGTGCAAAGGCATTGTGGGATAGCCTGCAGAGTTTCCCAGCATGCACTGTTGCATGATGGTGTGGAAAATCCCGCATGGTCGACACCCGGCACCCTGGGAAAATGGTGCCCCATGGGCACACCGAAGCCCACGAGCTGTGTGCTCTCAGCAGCTTGTACCAGGGCCTACGTTGGAAGCAACGAGACGTGGAATTATCCGAGGCAAGACCCGCCTCTCCTGCTGCAACTGCTCTGGCCCGGTGCGACGGGGGCATCTGAGCCCCGAGCTGCCTGGGCATGTCGCTAGCCGCAGCGGAGGCGGTTGCTCGGTGTGAGAACAGGGTAAACAAATGCAGCGGACACGTCAGCCGCGCCAGCGTTCCCTGATCCAGCTCCCCCCAAGACTGTTGGCAACAGCTGTGCCGGGAGGCGCTGTGCTCTCTGTGTCTGTAACAGGAGCCCTGGGCGGAGAGCGGCCTTCCTGAGCTGAGCTGGGGGGGAGCAGTGGGCGTAACCCTCGTCCTGTCCTGCCCGGCTCTGTCTGCAGACCCCAAAGTGCTTCATCTCATGCAGTTCCCATAAGGCCAGGGAGGGCTCCGTCGGGTTCGCTCCACCCGTGGCTGAATCGCAGCCACTTCTGGGGTGGAACGTGGCAGCGGTTTCCACAGCCGCCCAGCACAAGAGGAGGCGACGCCTGTTTCGTTCCGATGCTCGGATTTCGATGGGCAGGATGCGATCGCCTGAGTAGCATTGGGGTCGATGCCCCTAAGTGCCTAGGGGGCTTTTAACGCTGGCAGATGGCGACGTCAGGTTGGCGTGTCCCCCGAAACGGGACTTGCCGGACCATAGCTCGCCCTGGCCTCGGGCACGGCCGTTAGGGTCTGCCACGACCCTCCCGTGCTTTTCAAAAGAACTCCCCAACCCCCTGCCTCAGTGATGTGGGGGTCCTCCCCCCCGGCTTAGCTTCCTGGGAGTGGTGGGGTCCCCAAGCAGTGGAGGGGCATGTGCCCTCTGGCCAGTGGGTCTCCCCCAGCCCTACAGCCACATAGCTCGCCCTGGCCTCGGGCACGGCCGTTAGGGTCTGCCACGACCCTCCCGTGCTTTTCAAAAGAACTCCCCAACCCCCTGCCTCAGTGATGTGGGGGTCCTCCCCCCCGGCTTAGCTTCCTGGGAGTGGTGGGGTCCCCAAGCAGTGGAGGGGCATGTGCCCTCTGGCCAGTGGGTCTCCCCCAGCCCTACAGCCAGCCCTACCCTGTGCCTGCCCATGCAGCCGAGACAGCCTCTCTGCAGCTC